GATAGTGTAAATTCACCAACCAAACCAACACTTCGTACAACACCTATAAATACTTAAAAATCTATGTACAAACTTATTCATTCACTTAATAAAATCTTACTATATTGGATGGATGGATATTTATTTGAAGGTATCTCCTGAGCAGCTGTATGGTGCTCGCTGAAATTTTGGCATTGATGTAAAACATAGTCTAATAAATACATAGGCTACGAATTAAATTCTTTATTTTTCTTTCACGTGAACGAAGTCACGGACGACCACCATTTTAAAAATGAAATAGATTAAAAAAAAAAAAAAAGGCCACCCGAAATCTCTGAAACAGTGAAACGACCGCTACTTATAGACATACGCAATTGCATATGCGTCCGCCTACCTTCAATCGACGGCGGAGAGGATGCACACAAAGAAAACATTTTTCCTTTCCATGCATCCTCACATCCGAAAAGTCAACTTCCACTTCCCATCCTTTCTTTATAAGAAAAAGGAAGGGAAAGAGGACTAAATGAGGCCTCCGGGACGCAAATTTTACCGACCAGTTACCAACTAGTTTGTATATCTGTCTCTGGTATTTAGCAATGAAGGCTTGACCTATATTTAGCGTGAACGTTCGAACGACCTCATATGTTGATTAGCTGGAAATACGTGTGTTTCAATTTGGTCGTGTTACTGTAACATTTTGGTGTAGTAAAATGATTGTTACTAGAATATTTGAGCTTATTATTTAGTAAAATTAAAAGTACCTAGATCGATCGTAAGGAAAATTATCTTAAACTAGCTGTGCTCGCGACTCCGTCCGCCCGTAATTAAATATAAAGCTAATTAGTAGCCTATGTGTTCTTCCAGACTATATTTATTATTTTTATTATTCTATAAGTATGCCAAATTTCATCGCGATCTGTTCAGCTGTTCTGGAGATACATTCAAACAAACATCCATCCATCTAAACATTTGTATTTATAATATTAGTAAGAAGTAAGATTTATATACGAGTATACTCAAGAATAGGAATAATATTTTAAATAATTCATGGTACATAAGAAACATAATTCATAACAATGTCTATAAAAACTTTGTTCAAACAAACTTTAAATACAATTAACGGATTTCATGACCTTCATTGAGTTCCTTTTCCCAACAAAACTCTCAAAATATTTCGTATTATTTTCTCTTTTTAATTATACTTTGTTTTAGAAGTTTTTATAAAGAAAATAACTTAATAGAACTTTATACGCTGTTGTTTGAACAAATTTACCTTTTTTTAAGGTAAAAATTGTGTAAATTTTATTTGTTGTAAAACTCTTTCTTACAGCTGATTGACTTGATAAAATAGAACATTACTTATTATTTTTAATACATATAGCAGTTACCTGCGACTCCGTCCGTGCAGGATTAAAATAAAACTAAATTATTATAGTAGCTCTTGTGTTCTTCCTGTCTACATTCTGAAAATAGCTACTAACAAACATCCAACCATCCTTACATTATTTTTTTTAATCAATAGTGACTTTTTTTACGTCCTTAGCCAATTACAACAGATTTTGCAGTGTTATATATCTTTATATATATAATTCTTCTGTGCGTATGTATGTCACTGAACTTCTCTCAAACGACTGGACCGATTTTGATGAATTTTTTTGTGTGTGTTCAAGGGGATCTGGGAATGGTTTAGATTCACAATTTTGTCCGCTGGACAGTGTTTTTTTAGTTAATTTTTAATTTCTTAGTAGTTGTTGATTTTGGAATGTTTTACATTGGATCCGACAGACGGCGCTACCATCGCAGTGTCAAATTTTAAATAATATTCGAATTAAAGAAGTGTAGACAGGACAACGTCTGTCGGGTCCGCTAGTTAAACTATAAAAATTTTAGAACACTCTGTTAACTTACGGAATAAAAAATCTTTACTATGAGTCTAAAGTGCATTTTGTTCTACTCGAAGAGCCATACAAAACTACAAGGCTCGCTTAAACTTTTCACATTTTATTTGTATGACTGACAAATAAAATGTTCAACAAAGGAATAAGTTTTCTTTTAACATTTTTCTTCCTCTCAACTTTAAGAACGGAAACCTTTGAAAAAATATTACAAGTTCAGTTTTTTTTTTCAAGAAATATAAATCATGTAAGATCTGGTTTTTAATCTGACAAATTTACAAGCCAGTTGAATACAATATTGTTTTTTTATGAGTAGAATGTACTAACAAAACCTTTAGCTACTACTTGCTGTCTGCTTGGGGTTTTAATAAACTTAATTAGGAGCCTATGTGTTGTTCAAGGCTATGTTCTACAACTATGCCAATTTTCAGTGATATTATGCAAGTTCTAGAAATTACTCGTAACAAAAATCCATCCATCCAAACATTCGCATTTATAATATGAGTAAGATTGGTACTATAAAGGCTACTTAAGTTCAATCTTACAAACCAACTCTCTTGGTAGTCTTTACATTAAAGTTGGTTTATTTAAGTAATAATAAGTTTACACTACCAAAACACCCACATATTACAACTTTGCATGTCTGTTTTCTATTTTCAAAGATAGCCACATGTTTTATGTGAATGTTTTCGACAATGCGAACTCAATTACTTACTGGTAACTAATTGGCTGGATATGATATTCGCGACTAAAGGATCGAATAACAGTATTTAAAATTTGCGTGGTTTTTTATACGAAGGACCTTAGTGTACATAGTCATATACATACACTTAGTTTCTTTACACTAAGTAACTATTAAACGTCTTTTAATATGGCAATGAGACAAATAATTTCAATTTGAACGTTTTGTTAGAACATAAAACAAAACTGTAATAAAATAAAAGTTGTTGCACGAACTTTAATCAGGTTAAAAGCATGAAATATAATTTACGAGTAAAATGTTTAAAATCTAGGTATTTTTAAAACGAAAATTCTTAATTAAATGTAACTTCTAGTTATAAAAAAATTCCGAAAAATTACTTATTAACGGCTGATGGATATCCAGTACAGAGTGTTCCAAAAATTTATTATAAACTAGTGATAGATTTCCTATACAGGATGTCTTAAAAGTTAATTAAATAAATAAGTGACAGATATCCAGAATATTTATCAATATGTAAAGATAGACATTTCTTGTGATAAATTTCATGTGTCTATCTAACATCTATTTAATTAAAAAGCTATTTTAATCAGTATTCAAGTTTGTTAGCTATACGTCGCTTCAATAAATGCTCGTTTCCTAACTAAATTTTCGCAAGTCCATCAAAATGAACACGATATTGGTAAAGCGTGACCGGAATACTGATAGCGATCCGCGCCGCGCGACGTAATCAAAACGAATGGAGAACTGCAAATTTGATTTTGCCAACTTTCAATCGTTTATTATTCTTGCAAAGTGAAATAATTTAATAAACTGTATACGTATATCTGCTTATATAAAGACATAAATAATATTATATGAACTTGTTGAAATCACAGAATTTTTATACAAAGTAAAGTATTAACTTTTGAGGCGGATATTTCATTGAAATTTGTATCAAGTACTTAATAGATTTGTCCAATTTTCTTTAAAGTAAATTGATAAAAATTAAGAAGATAATGGAAAGAGAAAATTATGATTTGGTATCTAGTACGTACGCACACTCAAGTAAGCCATCTATGGACTTTGAAAGCCCTTTCTTATTTCTTGATATTATTAAATTCAAAAACAATTTGTATGCATAAACTCCATATATTATTAGTAAACAGAGAGCTTATTGTATGAGGTTAATAATTCCGCGTCCGGGACATCAAACAGCCGTTATTAGAGCTAATGCTTGCGCTGTGTCCACACTGCCCGGGAATTTGCATGCAGTCATGATTATAGTACTTTGTGTAACATTGTGTGTACGCCATTAGATTCGTACGTGAAATGGGAAAATGCAATATCGGTGTAGAAATTTAATGTTATATAAAATTATGTTTTAATGTCATAAACACGTACAGACTTAAAGACATGATTTTTTCTTTTATATTATAAGGCTCCAAACAAGCAAGCCGTAACCTGGATTCGCCAAAATATAGAAGCGACCACTGTCTATCGATTTCCGCAATTGCAGATGCGTTACGTTGCATTAATTGATGAAGGAAGGGACGCACATAAAAATAATGTTTCCTCTTCCTATGCGTCCCCCTCCTCCGTGAAAACCACTTTCCCTTTCTTAATAAGAAAAGGGAGGAAGGGAAAGAAGACTAAAATAATACCTATCCAAAATTAGAACCACGTTAAGTTGTACGCTTATATTAAACCGGACATGTCGAATTTATACTGACCAGATTGGTGAAAACCTCTTGAATACGGCTACATATATATGTATAGCTTAAACGCTAATCTGAGTATATACATCTACGCATCCGTGATGGAAAACTTATTATCCACGCGGAATTAAAAACAAACTTATTAAGTATCCGATGTGTTCTTCTAGAACTAGAACAGTGGTAGAGCCCGCTTTAACATCTTCGCACGAATTGGCCCGGCTCACCCGGTGAAATACCACGACCACTAGAAGACAGGCGTCTGATGAGTGTGCGTCCCGGAGGCCTAATTAAGTTCTCTTTCCCTTCCCGCCCTTTTTCTTATAAGGAAAGGATGGGAAGTGGAAGTGGACTCCCCGGATGAGAGGATGCATGGAAAGGGAAAATATTTTCTTTCTGTGCATCCTCTCCTCCGTCGATTAAAGGTATATGCAATTACGTATGTCTATGGGAAACTTCGCTATTTCAGTGATTTCAGGTGGCCGCTCGATCCTTTGTCACCTTGTGATATAAAAAAAGACTATTTTCTTTATGTACGCCAAATTTCATCGAGATCCGTTCAGCCGTTCCGGAGATACCTTTAAACAAACATTCGCATTTATAATATTAGTAAGATCATATTTTGCTTTTATGTTTCATCATCACGCATACTCTATGAATTCGTTACTTCACAGTATATTTGTACTGTGATTTTTCTGTCACACTGACGAAATCAATTGTCTATCACAGAAATGTCATCGATGTTTTAGAAATATGTGAATGGAAATTCAATTCGAAATTTTCAGTGTAAAAGTAAATGTATAATTTTGTTTACTTCAAATCAAATGCCTGATTTAGATCCTTACGATATCGTTCATCCAGATTGCATAACATGTTGTGATAATGAGAAATCAAAACGTATACAATATGCAGATGAAGCTCGTGATTATATGAACGAATGTGTTACTAAAAATAAAACATTACCACCGCATGTTGTTAATTTAGTCGACAAAGATGTGGAGACGTGTCGTAAAAAGACAAGTTCAGATGATAACGAAGAACTACGTCGAAGAGCGTTCGCGTTATACAAAAGCTATGTAGAAGGAAGGAAAGAAGATGGAAAATGTCCTACCTGTGTTTATATAGGACCACGTGGTGAAAAAGTATTATTCAAAGGTTACTTAGTACTTCTACTATATTATACTCATCAGAGTTTTTGTGCTGATTCTATCCCTAAAGAAACGTATGTACGGGGTGCGGATTTCAAATCACGTAGTCGGAGGTTCGAACACAATGCGACTAGAGTAAACAATATCCTAGCACAAGCATAGAGAATGGTACAAGAAATATTAGTAAACTAGCTGTCGCTGCGTCTCCGTGCGTGCGGAATTAAAAAAAAACTTATTTAGTAGTCCATGTGTTCTTCCAGACTATATTCTACTTTTAGCCAAATTTCAGCGTGATCTATGCAGCCGTTCTGGAGATACCTTCAAACAAAGATCCGTCTAAACATTCACATTTATAATATTAGTAAGAAGTAAGATTAATAAAAATCTGCTTATATTTAATAACAAAACAATTTAGTATACCAATTATTTACCAGAAGTCTTTGGTCTACTGTTAGTAGTAGAGGCACTTTAAAATATTTTAATTAATTTTTATTGATTGTTTATTTTAAGGTGACGCTCTTAAAAATGAAGATGTTTATTGTGATTACGATCCATCGTTCAATCACTTTCTATCTGTTGCCTTCATGATTCTATTTGTTATGCTTTTGTTTACTTCAGGGTTTATATATGTTGTTGCAAATACGTAAGTATATTTTTAATTAATGATTATATCATATCATTGTTTTAATTATTTTTGCCGCTTTTTTTCTGCTTCTGTAATTTCTCGGTTACCATCATTATCTGAGGGGCTCGGACCCTGTGTTGATGTTGACTAGGCCATAGTCAACCACACTGGACCAGTGCGGGTTGACTTCACACATATTGAATTTCTTCACAGATTTGCAGGTTGCGTCACGATGTTTTCCTTCACCGTAAGATTGTTGGATAAATGTACTTTTAAACATTATGAGTAGAATCCTATGGCATGAATAGCGTGCTTTCATTACAAAGTCAAGTGTCAGAATAATTAGTGATGGGACATAAACGTCGACATTTTAGTTAGGCTAGTGTTGTGCCAGTATACCAGCACAGTGTCGGATTTTCTTCCTAACAGTACATATGTAAATTGAAATTCGAATTTCGGTTATCGTTTGTTTTTATTTACAGGAGATCTTTGAAGGAGTTTTTTCGTGATTTTATATTATTTATTGCTATTCCTGCTTTGTAAGTATCGAATTTTATTTTAATTGAAGAAAGACTCAAGTTTAAAGATCAATTTTTTTCTAGGATCGTAATCATAGTATTAAATTTTTCAATGTGCTACTTTAAATGTTCAAGATTGGTACCGTGTAATTTTATATACATTCTTGTTGCGGTGAGTATCCAACGTATCCTAATATTTTCCTTATATTTGTAAATGAACACTAATGTATCATTGCAAAGTACCAGTAAACAGTGGTAGAGTCCGCTTTAACATCTTCGCACGAATTAGCCCGGCTCGCCCGGTGAAATACCACGACCACACAGAAGACGGGCGTGAAGTGGAAGCAATTCCTCGTTTCGTCTGTTGAGTGTGCATCCCGGAGGCATAATTTAGTCCTCTTTCCCTTCCCAACCTTTTTTCTTATAAGAAAAGGATGGGAAGTGGAAGTGGACTTTCCGGATGAGACGATGCATGGAAATGTTTTCTTTCTGTGCATCCTCTCCTTCGTCGATTAAAGGTAGGCAACGCATATGCAATTGCGTATGTCTATGGGCAACGGTCACTTCGCTATTTCAGGTGGCCGCTCGCTTGTTTGCCACCTTATGATATATAAAAAAACAGATAATTAGAACAGACATTAGTAGCCTCAAAGAAAAAGGTATTAACTGTTATAAGTCAGTGGGAATACGAAATACGAAATCATTTGTTATGACACAATTTTTATATTATCTGGCATTAAGCGTTGATCGAGAGTGCTAAAGTAAATTTTAATTGAATATGAAATTATTTTAAAACAAAAATTTATGATAAAACCTAAAAGAAAACTAAAGAACACAAACTTACAGGTGTTCACGTATAGTATCTTGGCAGGCGTGTTGACTGCAATACTCGAAACGACTATTATATTTTTTGTATTTGCCGCTACAACCGTTGTTGTTCTATTTTGGATATTGTTAGGATTCACAAGAGTAAGTACAGTCATTTGTTTACGTCGAGCAGTAAATATAACACAAATAACATTTTATAACTTACAATCTTACTAATATTATAAATGCGAATGTTTAGATGTTTGAAGGTATCTCCAGAACGGCTGAATTGATGACATGTGCTACTAATAATGTTTTATAATTCCGCTCGGACGGAGTCGCGGGCGACAGCTAGTTTATAAATATAACAAAAAATATCATGCAACGAGTCACTGGTACTTTCAACGCTATTCAAGATATAAAACATTATGTAACATTTATTAGAAAAAATATGAGGAATAGGCAATTGTTGTCTCTGCATAAGATGTGTGTTTGAGAAACCTTAGAATTCTTATTATATATTTTGTTTCAGTACAACTTCAAAGAATGGTCACTATATTTGTACACGATATTCCTTGAGATCGCTGCTGTTATTGCCTTAGTATTTTTGTTCAGAACATTTACTAAATTACGTTATGGTTTAGTACAGTTTTTTATTGCACTTTGCTGTACAATGCTATATGATGTGGTGAGTTTAATTTACTGTTATTTTTTTTTTTGCACATAGAACAAAATAATAAGACACAACCAGACAAAGCAGATTACTTATTCGTCTTGCTGTTTTCTGATAGGTCTAGTGATCTTGTAAAAGGCTTTGGTATGTCACCGTAAACTTCCACGACCGAAACACGAAGACAGAGATAGGTTAAAGCTTGGTAACCTTTCTCTGTCTTATTCAAAGATAATGAAAGAAATAACTATATGATATTGTTGAGGAGTTATGACAGTAGCTAAAAGTGACGGTTACTGTCTATATCTCTCTGATTTTTATTCCACTATATGATTGGTCAACGCATCTGGTTTTCGTCTTCCAAATCTATTTCCATTCGTCATTTTAGGCTTATCTATTACTGCAATATTTACTGTTATTCCTGGCTCTATTACCAGATTCTTCTATTTAAATTTCATACGTTTTTTTTATAGATAATGGTGATGAACCTACAGATGATATTATCTGGTAGAATAATGGAACTGGATGAAACTGATTTTGCGATGGCTGGGATACTATTGTATACTTCATTAGTGGAGTTATTTTGGTCTTTAATTCAAGTAACAGGACTTTATGACAAATGTTCATAAATGTTTAAGCTTTAATACATGTTATAAACGTTTTTAATATTTCTTTCCCATCCAATTTCAATAAGTAGTGTTAGGATGAAAATCCGAAACTGTGCTTGTGTATCGGCGCAACACTAGTCTTATTAAAATGTCAAATGTCCCCTCACTAATCAGACACTTGTCTTGATAACGAAAGCGCGCTATTCGCGCCAAAGGAACTAATAATGTCTAAAAGTAAAGAGAAAGAAAAATTGTAAAGTCTTCAGTTACTAATAGTAGTAACAAAAGATTAGAAAATAATTCGACATCTGATCTGCTGATCTTTTATTCATGTTAGGATTCTGCACGTACAAGTCTAATTCTTCACTAACGACTTCACTCATTAGGATAATGAATGCTTTCGTTTCCGCAATTTTTTTTGCAACGTTTAGAGAATTGGCTAGCAAGCATTTATTATTATTATTTTCACCTTTATGCGCTTATAAAAACTACAATTTTGGATTTATTAATATTATAAATATGAAAATTTAGATGGATGGATGAATGTGATAAGGACGGAACGGTTCATCGGATCTTGATGAAATTTCGGACAGATGTAGGATAGTCTGGAAAAACATATAGACTACTTAATTTTTTTTAATCCGCGCGGAAGGAATTACGGACGACTGCTAGTCAGTTTATATCTTCAGCTTATAACTGGTAGATGTAACGAAATCACATTCTGCTCTCTTCTTTCGAGTTCTTACATTTTTTTATTCTTAAAACGAATAAAATGATGCAGATTTTTAATAAATATATATTTATTATAAAATTTAAATATAACATACAGTAAAAAAATTATAAAAACTTTAACATACCGTAGTTTCACATTCTATATTTAGCCGTCATCCAAAATACCTAAAATTTGTACTATTTTAAGAAAGATGCTAATAATCGATGTATAAATCATGAAGGCACCAAGGGCATAATCATATTCCGAAAGCTCCACAGATCGTCCTCCTAATACACTTTGAAGTTCTATCGTCAACATCTGAAAAAAACAATCGGTAATGATGAAGACGTTTAACAAATTAAAACAAGAAGACAGAGGTCTACAAGATGCTAAGCATTTTACGCATCCGCGTTATTTCTAATCTACCTTTTCAATGTTCAAATTGCAACGATGTAAAGGTCCCAATATCAACCGAAAAACATGACCTAAAAATTGTACTCCGGTTCAAGTAATTAAAATGTCCGATAGATTTCGTATTCGATAGAAAGGCTTCAGCCTTCCTAAATAAAGTGCATTCGGTCCAAATTACATGAAGAATTTAAAAATTGTTTAGAACTGACACTCGAAAACCACGTGGCTTACCGAAAGTCGTCAGTTCTATACATTTTTGAAGTTCGTTACGAAATTCCATTTGGAGCGAATGCACTTGATGCAATGCAATGGAACATTATACGTAATACTTCGGTAGATACTTACAACACATTGTACTAATGTAGCAAGAATTAGAAGAGCCAGTACGACTGGTTTCATAGTCTGTCCTGTGATAAGCATCATTAGAACAACGATCATTATTATCACTGACAACGCCACAGATATAACAATCACGTACAATATCCACGCAGTGAAATCAAACTGAAATATAAATAACATTTTAATGACAAAAAAATATTTATTTAGCCTCTAAAGACATTGCTTGACAAGACTCATCTTGATGGGAAAAGTTCCCGGTAAAAGGAGTGTTGGTCACAGAAAATAGTCCTGGTTGCGCAACATCCGAAAGTGGACAGGGGTTGCGAGTGCCGCCCAACTATTTCGCCTTGCAACAAGGGAAAATATGGAGAACTGATCGCCAACCTTCGTTAGTTGGAGAGGCACCTCAAGAAGAAGAAGAAAGACATTGCTGTGACAGGGAACCTAATTTTGATATGGACCTATGAATTTGACTTATTCCAATGAAGCATTTCAAGCTAAGCTTAAGTAAGCGTAGTATGAATCTAACGAGAAACAAACTCTGAATTATACACTTCATTTACTGTCATAATTTCAATGTAATGAAAATCCAAATAACAGGAAAAAGAAAGAAGAAATATATTTATTACCTAATACCTATTTCATTAAAGAATGATAAAAAGTACAGTTAACTTAGTATAGAAATTAATAAAATGATTATATTTTACCGAAGTGAAAGCCAAAATGACACAGACGAACACAACCGCTGCGGTAGCTATGGTCGCGTATAGAACAATTTCCGTTCGATAATGAGACGTGATGAATGCAGCGAGGATAGTCATTGCAACCACCTGTAAAGTCAACGAAAAGATGCAATTACTGCATAGGAATTTAATGTGTAATCCATTTGCTTATTTATCTCTTGAAATATTTACTGTTGATACAATTATTCATGCATAAAATCATCATCCTGGCCTTATCTTTATGGAGGGTCGGCAAAGCATGTACTACTCCATCATCTCTATCAGACGTCATATCTGAATCTACCCTATTCGCATATCCTTTCATACGATTCATCCATACATTCTCTGGTCTTCCTCTACGTACAAAGCAAAAGAAAACGAACGTTCTTGTACTGTGGAAGGCACTGATAAGGATGAAATAAAAGGTGTTAAGATCTAAAGATTTAGTATGAAAATAATTATATTAGTAAATATTACCGCAAGTAACAAGCACACAAAATTGCAAGGAGGGTATCGTGCGCAGGCGCTACATATAAATGCGTAGTTAACACCCATCAGTAATAACCTGAAAATGTAATATAAAATATGCAATACAATATGAAAGCTCGTGTTAACAATATTTTTAAATAAAAAAGTATTCCAGCAAATTTACTAATATTTCTTGTGCCATTCCAACTAAGTTCGGTTTACGACAATAGTCGAATGCCGGGATTCGAACCTCCAACATTGTGATTCATTGGACAAACCGTAGGAATATAATAATGTACATCATCGAATAACTTTGACTTTGAATAAACGAATGTAGAAAATCTTAAATCTACCTGATATTAAATTCTTATCTTCACTAACAAAACTGCTCACCTTCGATAATCATTGCATAAATTCTTTTTTTTTTTAATATCAAAAGGTGGCAAACGAGCGAGCAGCCACCTGAAATCGCTGAAATAGCGAAGTGACTGCTGCCCATAGACATACGCAATTGCATATGCGCTGCCTACCTTTAATCGACGGAGGAGAGGATGCACAGAAAGAAAATATCTTCCCTATCCATGCATCCTCTCATCCGTAAAGTCCACTTCCACTTCCCATCCTTTCCTTATAAAGAAAAGGATGGGAAGGGAAAGAGGACTAAATTAGGCCTCCGGGACGCACACTCATCAGACGAAACGCGTAATTGCTTCCACTTCACGCCTGTCTTCTGTGTGGTCGTGGTATTTCACCGGGTGAGCCGGGCCAATTCGTGCGAAGGTGTTAAAGCGGGCTCTACCACTGTTATTTGTCTGGATACTAAATCTAAGATATACTTTGTTGTAAGAAACTCCAAGGTTACAAGGTTAATATTTTATTCATTAGCTGTACAATTACACAAAGCAAAGAAATATAATTAAAATCTAAGTACTTACAATGCTAACATTGGTAACATCGTACCAGTAGAAACAAACATATCACGCCACTCGTCTCTAAAATAAAACTTAAAATGAATATCAATGACTTAACAGAACGTCGGTGGCACAGGAGTTAAGCCGTTGACTTGTAATCTGTAAATCCTGGGTTCGAATCCCATCATGTATTATACTAATATGTTTTTCGATTTACATATGTACTTTTTCAACGTTCTTACGGTGTAGGAAAACATCGTAACACTGTACATTTCTGTGAAGAAATTCAAAGATATCTATGAAGTCAACCAGCACTGGGCCAGCGCGGTTGACTATGGCTTAGTCACCCCTAACTTAGGCTCCGAGGCCTTCACTGGAGACGTATAGTGAGCTGATGATATACTAAACCGGGCTGTATCGGAATCTACTAATCGTTCGCCTATTTCTATGTTACATCCATCTGTAGTTTCTTTTGTACTTCGTCTTTTATATTATTTTCTGAAGACGACGATACTCTTTGTTATTATTATAATATTTCATAATACTTTTTACATCATTATCATCCCGTAAATTTTTATCTACATTGATTTTATAAGAATAACTAGGTGTAGATAGTAGCCAATTCTCAGACCTATTCAATACGCTCACAAAATTTCATGAGAATCGGTCAAGCCGTTTCGGAGAAGTATGAGAACTAAAATTGTGACACGTGAATTTTTTATATATGATTTCTACTTACGATGAGTTAACCATTGCTAAAACCGCCGCTGTTATCAGTAACATCACCAAGACAAGGATTAGTACCACCCTCACAAAATCATTGCGTGCAGGATCATAATACAACGGTGGGCCAATACCTCCGGCGCCTGCTTTAAATTAAAACATAACAAAAATATAATTAGAAAACTATAAACAGAAGTACGGCGACGATGTTACTGATGATCATAAAAAGTTGAATCACTAGAGTTAGCTTGATTTGTGTGGCTACTATAATCTGATGTTCTTTTTTTATGCAAATACGTATTCGAAGATGTACATTCAAGTTTTCCACATCACCATTACTCAAGGTTTAGATTCGGAAAATAATTAATTTTAGCATTCAAAACATTCATATTTATTTTATTTGTACTTGACTACTTCTACAATTTCTATCTTACTAATATTATTAATGCGAATGTTTAGATGGATGGATGGATGAATGTTTGTTTGAAGGTATCTCGAGAATGGCTGTATGGATCTCGCTGTAATCTTACTCTTACTATAATATTACAAATGCGAATGTTTAGATGGATGGATGGTCGGATGTTTGAAGGTATCTCCACAACGGCTGAATGGATCTCGCTGAAATTTAGCATACTATAGAACATTGTCTGGAAGAACACATAGGCTATTAATTTATTTAATTCTTCTAAGAGTCTCGAGTGACAGCTATTCTTTCTAAATTTAAACCAACAAAGTAAAATGACTTACGTTGAATTCTCTGTGGTTGT